TTCTTCTTACATGTTCTAAAATTAATTTTCTTCTGTCCCACTCTGTTAAGGGGTTTCTCTACCTTATTTGTACCATGTAGTAGGTTTATGCAGTCTAATGGACTATGGCAAAAGGACTGACTGCACCTCTGTACCTTATTAATGATAAATCTCACTTGGCACTTGGTGGCAAACACTACTTATATGAGATCCAAGTGAAACTGCATAGGAATCAAGATTGGTATCTTAGGTCCACATGACTTAAGCTTTTAAGTCCAAATTTGACATGCAAATTGATGCTTTACCATGTCATACTATGGATTTTCTGTTTCAAGTTGAGTAGTGTGCTGCCAAGCCAAGAGAACGTGGTTGCAACCTTCACTGTCACACTGAGATCAAGGAACAAAACGAGCCACACCATCACAAAGTAGTTGTCAAGTGAGTTGGGTTTTTCAAGGACTTAAATCTCCTTAGTAACAATAATGCCAGAGCAGGCCTTGTGAGAAGATGGTTTGGAAAGTTGAGTAAATGCAAGATGAGACCGGATTGTGATTCCGCAATTTTTTCTAGGAGTCAAGTGGCTGAGAGAAGATCTACTATTGGATTAGTAGATTCTGAGCCATGATCTCACCATCAACAAAAGCAGTAAGATGGACATTGTTTTAGTCAACTTTCTAGCATTTAATTTTTTAAAAAGTTATCATTTTAGAGTTAGCAAAATCTTGTGGCATTTTCTCGAGCCCTCTGCATATTGATGTAAAATAAGTTTCTGTGGGCATATCTAACCAGTTCCTGTTCAACTTGGGTTAACATTTTGAGAACAGGATCATATACTTTACTATTATCACAGCCTTAACTATAGTACTTTCTTTAAAAGTTTGGATCAAATTCACTTTCCCTTATGAAAATTTTCTCTATGTCCTAGTTTGGGTCTCCCTGCTATTTCTTCCCCTAATAACCTGTCCTCTCCCTTTTTTGTAACTCTTAACACACTTGGAAGAACTAATGACTGTCTTCCCAGGGATTGTAAGCTCCACGCAGGCAGAGGCCATGTCTGCTTCGACTGCCACTGTACCCCTAGCATCTAAAACAGGGTTTGGCTCAGAAGTACATACTGTGGGGTACATACTCACAGAGTCGGACAGAAAAACAGAACAGCTATGAAACAGCTATGACAGTCTCCGAACTCTTTCCTTACACTGTAAATAACTGTCACTTCTTTACTTCTGTGATGGTAGCTCTGGATCTACAATTGTTTAATGTCTTAGAGCACGATTCTGAGACCTGGACAACGGAAGACGGCTAAAATTTTACATTAGTTAAATTATTCTTATCAAGAGTCGCTTTGCTATTTGTTAAAACACAAAGAATATCTTTGATGAAAAAAGAGCACTTAATTTGAATGAGCACCTTTTCTAAGATATTAACAACAACAAAAAACTGATATTACCCAAGAGAATACATACTTGGACCCCTTTCATCTTTACAGGAGCTTTGCAACATGGATGAGTTTGCAAATTTGCAGATTAGTTACTCAACCCTGAATGTGATCTTCAAGTGTCTATAAAAACATTAAAATGAAATAGCAAATTTCCTTACCCAGGTCAGTAAATCTTCCCCAATCTGATCAATAACTGAGGTCTCATTCCTCTTGCGAACAGCCTTCATTTGCTCATTCAATCCAACTAAGGGGGAAAAGAAAAAGAAAATAATTAAGTATACAGCCTGCATTACTGGTTGTACCGAGAGCCTAAATTTTCAAAAAAAAATTTTTTTTCACAGTAGTATAGCCGCTTCTTGCCTCCTTAAATATAAATCTGAATACAATTCTTATACGTACAGATACCTGTGAGCTCTCTCTGAAAAACAGGTGCCAAAGCATAAAACAATGTGGAAACTAGCACATTACATACAGTATAGGTGCATCAAATATGCATCTAACTTCAAGACTCCCTCATAACCATGCTCATAAAGAAATTTAAATAGAACAGGTGATTCTGCCTACTGTTGCTCTCAAAACGTTCCCATTCACAGGCAGTGCATATAATCACACTGAACTTGTCAGTTCATGCCGGTGAAACCTAAGATCACCCACAAAGACGTAAAAGGCATCAATTTGGTAGGCAGGCGTTGGCAGGTGCTGATGGCATCCTTGATGCAAGAAAGCTTGAGAATTAAGGATCACAGAGAAGCAGTGACTTACAAAAAGAGAAACTGTGTCTACAAAAGTCTGAGATGACTATAACCAAGGAAAGCCAGCAAGGTAGAATTTTTTTATATATTTACTCAAACCTTTGAAGCAATAATAATTTAATTCCTGAAAATTATTCCATCATGAAATTATATACTGTATATTATATATCCAAAAATATATACATCATTGTATTGGATATATATTTTTAAAAACACATACACTGCAACTGATAAGAAACTTCCAAGGGTAATTTTAATTATTCATATTTTTCATCTTAGACATCAACTTTAGACCTTAACTCCTGGTGCTAATACTTTATATACAAAAGGCTGATGGTGTGAGTGGGTGTTTGGGGAGGGAGGTATTCAAACATCAGATCACTTCTTTATTTAAGTTATGTGCTCACATATTATTATATAATTTCAGGAATGCTAACATGGATACATTTAGAAGATTTTACTGTTATGGTGCCTTTATGCACTCACAATCTTTCATCTATTAAAAATGTTAACCATCGGGGCGCCTGGGTGGCTCAGTCGGTTGAGCGTCCGACTTCAGCTCAGGTCACGATCTCACGATCCATGAGTTCGAGCCCCGCGTCGGGCTCTGGGCTGATGGCTCAGAGCCTGGAGCCTGCTTCCGATTCTGTATCTCCCTCTCTCTCTGCCCCTCCCCCGTTCATGCTCTGTCTCTCTCTGTCTCAAAAATAAATAAATGTTAAAAAAAAAAAAATGTTAACCACAAAGATCAGAGTTGATTTTTCTTACTGTGAAGTTGAAGAATATCTTCCAAGTTTGAAAAAATTTTCCGTAGTTCTGAAGGTGACAGAATTCCTTCTCTGGATACTCGCTGGTAGAACACTTGATCAAGAACCTTCAGTGTTCGAACATGAGCTCTTTCAGTGTAGAACAATTCTAAGCAGAAAAAAAGGAAATATGAAATATACCTCATTTAGAATGATTCCATGAGACCAAACACAAGCTTTAACTGGAATTAAGCAGCAAATTAGCTCTATAATAATTGTTCATAGTTTTGAAAGGATGTAGTATTTCTGATGTCACTTTCTTGAATCTATGAGACCCTCCTACATACTGGCTCTAAGAGCTGAATGCCAACAAATGAAAAATATCATTCAAAGCTATTCTGTATATTAAAGGTAACAATGTACTCCCAAATCCTTCTGTCTCTTCACAGTAGTACCCACCAACAACAGTAGAAAGCTAAAGCCCAAATAATATATAGTCTTTCAGTTGAGACCTCTTCAGAAGTCCTAGTATTTTGGTTACCTCATTTGCCTACAAACCCTCATTTCTGAGGCCAGACTTGTTATTTCACTACATCTCAAAGTGATCAGACACAGGAAGGATATTTATTTAAATAGCATCCTAAAGTCAGTGGAAGGCACAGCCTCCGTGTCACCCCCATTTCTGTCGCATATATGCTGGGGTAAAATAAAGAATACTGCTCGAGGATAAAGGAAGGACTGGTTCCCAGTTTTCTCCCTATCACTTATCAGCTAGCCGTGTGGTCTTGATTAATTCAACCAATCACCCTGAGCCTGAGCTTCCTCATAATCTATGCATAAAAATAAGTTGGCATGAAAGTGAAGTGAGAGGACCCATATTGTCTTAATGACTATTCAAGTTCAAGATCTATAATGCTATGAATCTTAAATACCTTAAAAGCTAAACACCTTTGCCTTTTAAATTATCATTAAGAATCATAGAAGCGTTTGCATTTTTTGAGTTGGAAAGTTCAAGGATCAGCTATCTAGTTTAAGTTCCCTTTTATGTAAAACAAAAGGCTAGCAGAAATTTTGAAGCAAACTCTAAGACTCAGGGGCTTGTTTTAGTCTAATAAAACTCACTATGTGTGAACAACAACAAAATCTAATTACACTCACCATTAATTACTTCCTGTCTTTTGATCTCACAAGGCTTTAGTCCCAGTAACACTTCTCGACTAACGAGCTGTTGCCAGTTGGGTGGATCTGTCTCTAAGTCATTTTCAAACTGTTCATCCTCACTTTGACTTTCTCCAAAAGCTATGCTGTCGAATCTGATGGAAAAAAAAAATAACGAATTCTATTCTGAGGACATCAGGTGGACAACGGGAAATAGCACAAGTTTTATATTACAGCAAAGAAGTCATATTTCTGAAGTACTGCCTAGCGCAGGGCCTGAAACATCATCCTCTCATACAAAATGATTTACATGTGTTATATATAACTCTATAAATATCTTGTGAATAGTTTGTGTTTACTAAGAACTTTCTTTTATACTATCTAACGGATCCATGTACAGGTTTTTTCCTTTAAAATTAGAATGTTAGTTTTCTATTTCTTAAAATATGCCTCTACTGAAAGTTACTTCAGGATTACTCACTTTCGAAAGGGCTTTGGTGTCCCATGTTCAGGCACCCTAAAAATAATGGAGAATAAAGGGTCAATGGAAAAACAAGACGGTAATCAAGAAATTTATGCCAAAGACCCTGAACAGACATTTTTCCAAAGAAGACATACAGATGGCCAACAGACACATGGGAAGATATTCAGCATCACTGATCACCAGGGAAATGCAAATCAAACAACGAGATATCACCTTGCTAGAATGGCTAGTATCACAATGACAAGAAATAGCAAGTGTCAGTGAGAATGTGGAGAAAAAGGATGTGATATATATACACACATATACATATATATATATGTACACACACACACACACACACACACACACACACTATGGAATATTACTCAGCCATAAAAAGTATGGGATTTTTGTCATGTGTGACAATATGGATGAACCTAGAGGGTATTATGCTACGTGAAATAATACAAAGACAAATACCATACGATTTATGCGTGAAATCTAAAAAACAAATGAACAAAGAAGCAAAGAAAGCAGGAACAGACCTATAAATACAGAACTGGTGGCTGCCAGAAAAAAAGTGGTGGGGGGATGGACAAAATGGGTGAAGGGGTGACAGATCCAGGCTGCCAGTTAATGGAGTGTGTAAGTCAGGGGAACGAAAGGCATAGCACAGGGAATACAGTCAATGGTGTTGTAATAGCTGTTGTGGGGGGACAGATGGCAGTCACACGTGTGGCCAGCACAACAGAACGTATAACCTTGTCAAATCCCTACGGTGCACACCTGAAATTAAAGTAACATTGTGTGCCAACTATACTTTAATAAAAAGTAAAAGAAAAAGAAATTTATGCCAGAGATACTCAAAACTGGGTTAAACTACAGTGGCTAATAAACAATTTTTCTGGAAGTTATAATGACTGAATAGAAAATAAATTAAAAACATTTCAGTACCTGTCTAAGATTTACCAGCTATAAGCTCTAGTTCCTTTCTTAAAAGCATATGTGGGGAAAACGCTACAAAGTACAGGAATACTATACAATGAAATAGGTGAAGTTGGCCTAAGCGTCCTCCATAAGATATCACTGAATTACCTTTCCACCTCCCACTCCTCCTCCTGCACTTGGTCTAAGGGAGGAGGTGGGAAATCGAAGATGGTATTGGGAGTGCGAGGGGTGCCATCCATGCAGTCTCCAGATGCAGGTGTTTCTCCAACTTGCTTTGATCCTGAAAAGACGAAAGTCAGACCCTTAGACGGTGTTAATGAAGACAACGATTCCAAAAAAAATCAGTCTCCAACAAGAGCTTCAATCCATCCGTAGCACATTCGTAATTCAATTACAGGTTAGCTAGAACCAAAACTCTAATATAAAATGCACTAAAAACTAAACAGAAATATTATTTTTAAGCAACTTTTTAAAAACCAACATAAGACACGTAAACAACTCAGAAGAGAAACATTTGCTGACGTTATCTTTTTCTAGCCCCTGTGCCAATCTTTTTCATACAAATTTTAGTTATTATGGTGGTCCAATTTGAAATAATAACCTCATACTTCTTTTTCTTGATTTACTACCTTTAGGTAATATACATTTCTTCCTCCTCTGAGGATTTTGCTCAGTTATACTTCCCACCTTCACTTTCCTCCCACTTCTTCCTGATGGATAATAATTATATTATTATTACTAGCTGAGTTACTGGTTATTATCTAAGTTTAAATGATAGAATTATATCTGTGTTTTTATTCCATCAAGAAGTTAGTACCTTAAATCTCCTCTATATCAAATTAGGTATTTGGTTTATCTATATCCTTCCCTTTAATTGTATTTCTCTCCTTCTACCCTTCATTTCTTTCAACTACATTTTTACCTGAATCAGTCGATGGAGTTTTACATTTCCCTGATCTATGGCCACAACTAAATATTCTGTGCCTTGCCTATTAGGTGGATTCTAAAAAGCCTGAAAACCAACAGACTGCTTACACTATCGTGTCAATGTACACAGTGTCATAAGCAAAATACAACACATTACATATACATATTATTCCTGCCAGGTTAAGAGGGATATTAGTTAGGATTATGTTTCCTTTTCTGCTGGTCCAAAGATGCAACTCATGGATCATGAGAAATAGAATGTTCATTGCATCAAGGTCAGGCACTCCATCAGCTACTTCAAGATTATGCCACTTAACTTTGTTTCACATTTAAATCATGACTTAACTTTCTTGAGCAACTGTTTCGCTTAGCATTTCTGGATGGCTTTATTGTACAACTGTCAAAGCACTATCATTTTATCAATTCTCAGAGTTTTTCATTTGCTACATCATACTATCAACTGCTTAGAATCTCCCTTTTTCTTATCTACTAGTTCTCGTGCTCTAGTCGGGAGCAGCTGCTCCCTTGGCCTGTGACATAACTATCGTCTAGGAACTGCCTGCCCGTCCCCACTTTTCTGGGTTGTTTCCACCATTTCCTGGATCCCGTAACATTTTGTTCACTTTTCTCTCATTTTGCCGGAGTGTGTATCTTCAAATCATGTTCAAGGAAAGGGTGCATTTCAGCTAAACTTTGAATCGTGGCGTATCTGAAAATGTCTTTGTATCTTCCTTCATTTCTGATGGGTAATTTGGATGGATATCGAATTCTAAGTTCAATGATTTCCTTTCAGCAAGTTGAAAGGCATGGCTCCTTTGTATTCTAGCCCCTCGTGTTATAATGAGAAATGTGATGCAGCATAATCCCCGTTTTGTTTTGTTTTTTTTTTTTCCCTTCAAAGCTTTCAGGACTCTGTATCTCTGATGCATGGAAATTTCCAGAGACATTTTAGGTATGGCTCTTGTTATTATTACTGTTCTTGTTATTCACTGTAGGTGGTTCCCAGTGAAGACAACTATTCTTCTTTACCCTTAAGATGGTCTCTCTCATCATTTCTCTGTCTCTCCTCCATTTCCTCTGTTGATCTTTCATCAGACAGGCAGATATAGGACCTCTCAAGTGAGTCTCTCTCTCCAATTTCTGTCTCTTGGTATTTCTGATATACATTCTGAAATATTTCCTTGACTTTATTTTTACGGACTTCTTTTTTTTCTTTAATTCTTGGTAGCTCTGGTGGTTCAAAAACGTGCACAAAGTTTTGATACTCCTTCCTTCAGGGGTCGAGCCTAATTATTCTGTCCCTTGAGTGTGAGCTAGATTTAGGGGCTTGCTTCTAACTTGCTGAAGTGACAATGTGCACCCACAGAGACTAACTCATTAAAGACAGCGAGGCTCCTTTCTTGCTCTGTCTTTTGGATCACTCCGGAGAAAGTTGGCTACCGTGCCATGGAACACTCAAGCAGATCCATGGAGAAACCCGTGTGGTGAGGAGTCAATGCCTCCAGCAAGGAGCTAAGTAAGTCCCCCTGCCACCAGCCACCTCCCTAGCGTAGAAGCAGGTCTCCTGGCCCCGGCTAAGCTTTCAGATGACTGACAGACAGCTTGACTGCAACCACATGAGACAGAATTGCCCAGCTAAGCTGCTCTCAAGTTCCCCACCCACCAAAAATGTGACGAAGAAGTGTTTTTTTGTGTTAAGCTATAAAGTTTTGAGGTGGCTTATACAAAGCAGTTGATAACTAATACGGTAGTTATTGTCTTGTAATAGTTATATTAAATCATTTCTCTTTGGTTTATGAAATGTTCCTTTTTCATAGTACTGTTATTCTTGTTTTACAGATGTAATAATTTTTAAAATTTCCCCAAGTATACTATCTAATTTAGAGGTATTTTTTCAACGTTCTTGTCTATTACCTAAATTACGGCTTTCTGCTGGGGCGGTTTTTCTGTTTATTTCGTTTTCTTTTTTTACGCCATCAATAGGTTTGGCATTAATGTATTATCTTAGGTCTTGACTCTAGCAAGCAAATTTTTTCAACAGCGAGTAATACTATTCGTATTTGAGTAGCTGCTGGGGCTTTCCTTTGCAGCTATACACAAGCAGATCCATTTCAGTTGGGAGCTCTCTGGACAGGGTGAGACCCTGGCATGTCTACTGTCAGGCTTCAGGCCCCCAAATGTTAGAACTAATGTCCTAATTAATGCCCTCCAGGGCACTATTGTCAAGGAGGACCTACCCAGCTCTCCCTACACAACTCACTCAACTCCTCTAAAAGAGCACACTCATGTTCTTCTGGTACATAAATGACAGATGGCTCACATTTTACAATGTAAGGATCAGAAACTGTTGACGTCATTGTTTTGATCACAGGCCTTCAATTAATTATTTTCAGCTTTATTTCTTACTCATGCACTCCATGTAACACATGCCAACTGCTGAGCCCAACATCTTTCCAGGGTTCTAATGGGCAGACTGGCTCCCCGCCTGGGACCCCTTGTACGGATTATGGACTCCAGCTTCCTCTATGTTGTTTTACTCATCAAACCACTCTTGTCCACTTTTAATCTCCCCAAACCACTCTTGTCCACTTTTAATCTCCCCAAACTCTGTTGAAATCTCTTACTTATTGATAACATGTTCTCTTCCTCCACTTCCTTTCTCTTCATGGTTTTTATTTATTTGTTACTGGTTACCCATCTGCCATGTTTTTATTTCAGTGAGAGCTAGGAGCCATGAATTAATGCACGTACTCAACCCAACATCTTCAGAATTCCACGTAAGATAAAACCCCCAGAGTTTTCTACAAATGTCACCCCTCCTCCTTTGTCTTAAATAAAAACCTGCCTATCCCACTGGCGATGACCTCTTCTGCTACAGTGCTCTCAAACGGAGACAGATGTTTCCATCGTACGCTGTGTACTTCAGGGCAGAGCGGAGATAGATACCCTTGTTCCTCAATACTACTGTCAGACCATTATCTTGCCTTCCTATAAAAATCTGCCGCCTGAGACTCTCACTCCGAGATACTATCACATGCTCTCCCTCCTCACGACAATCATCTAGCAATACTGAACCTTTGGCTGCTGGCTCACAGCTTCCCTCTCTCTGCTGCTATCACATGAGGTGACCTCAAAACTCAGGGATATTAAGGTATTCAAACCCCTGGCTTCTTGGCCCCTTACTTTCTTCATCTCTAGTTACTTCCTTTATGCCATTTCAGTGACCACTCCCATAGCTTTATCCTCGACCCTGTCATACCAGAAATTGAACTGCTTCCAAAATCGCCAGTATAGATAGGCATTCCCTTCTCCAAATAAAACCACTGATTCACCCAGCTCACTTGCTTAAGAAACCCATTATAACAAGTATGAAGAAATATGGTAATAAGCTCTTTTCCCAGTGACCTACAATTACTTTACATCTTCCTCTACTCCTCAAGTCCCCTTGCCCTTCACACACGCTCTGCCTCTCATCTCCTCTCTCCTTCTCCAAGCTCTTCCCTATTCGTTATATATAGTCTGTCCCCTGCATCTTCAACCTCCTCCTCTTTCCTGGCTTCCCTATAGTATTAAAACAACAACAACAACAACAAAACACCTCTAGTATCTCAGGTTTTTAAAAAAGTCTTCTTCAGCCTCCCCCCAGGTCTGCTTCTAGCTACTAAATCCCCTCAACACTTCTTTTACCCTTCCATTACTGGATCAGGCACAATCTGAATTTTTTATCGGTGTGACTATCTCCCCACGGGACTAAGCAGCACAGGGCAAGAATCTAAGTGTCACTTCTGTGTGCTGGCATCGGATACAGAGCTAATGCCTGACAGAGCGCTCGATCGATATTCCTCAATTGGTGAGAATTCAAAATGATCACTTAGCACAGATTTATCACCAGCTGTAGAAGATATTAAAACGTTAAAATGAAGTTAAACTGGGATTCAGGCTTGATTAAAATAATATGCCACTCTATTGCTGACTTAGTGTGACCGTTTTAAAGTCTTGAGACTTAGTTAAGTTGCACTGCAGCATTCGCTCACCCAGATCATTCTCTTTCCCTCCTTCCTGGGAAAGAGTGGCCCCTGAAGCCCCAGAGGACATGGAATTGGCTGGCAGGTACCCAACGTCTGTTCCTTCACCTGCTAACCCACTCTGGCGCAACTTGGCAGAGTCCTGAGGCTCAGGACTCACAGAAGAGGGTGTGGATAAGTGCTTAGGGTGCCGCTGCTTCTGTAGTTCCATAGCTCTGCCAACTGAACAGAAAGCAATGGTTAATAATGTATGTTTCAAAAATCTAAAAAAAAAAAGAAGAAGAAGAAGATGTAAAGGATCTAAAAATTGTCTGGAACATGGAAAATATTTGTGAATTATTACTGTGTGAGAGACAGATAGATAAGACAGGAAGAAATGAAAGAAGGAAAAGAAGAAAAAAGGAAAGAGAAAAATAAAGGGAGAGAAAGAGAGCAAAAGAAAGGAAGGAAAGAAAGGGGGAAAGAAGAAAGGAAGAAAAAAAGAAAAGGAGGGAGGGCAAGAGAGAGGAAGGCAGGGGAAGGTGGAGGAGGGTGGAAGAGAAAGGGAGGAGAAGGTGGCAGTGAGAAGGAGAGACAAGAGGGAGAAAAGGAGAGGAGAGCAAAGGCGGGGAGGGAGCGTGTTGAGAAAAGAGATGGACGCGCACAGAACCGTACTCACTTGTAAGAGTGAAGACGGAGCCTTCTGTGAGCCTTGGTAAGGCCCCGCCTGCCCCCCAACACTCACAGCTGCACCATCATAACGTGCCTCAGACACGATCGAGATTAATCCGCAGCCTGCTCACTATCCCTGTTTGCATCAGTAACCACGAGAAGCTAAAGACACTTAGGTCATCATCCCCCACAGCACTGCGCACCCTCACATAGCTCTGTACTTCCCTAATCCTAAACTTCTCCCTTCCCTAATTCCTAAAATTCTCCTTCTGTATCCCTTGGAACTCATGGGCAGCACCTATGAAGGACTCCATTCTTGGAGTACCTGGTGAATCAGCCAGTGGAGCCTCCAACTTTTGATTTCGGCTCAGGTCACCATCCCAGGATCATGGGATTGAGCCCTGTGTCAGGCTCTGTGCTCAGTGAGCATGAAGCCTGCTTAAGATTCCCTCCCTTTGCCTCAGCCCCTTTACCCTGCTCACACATGCGCTCTCTCCAAAAAAAAAAAAAAAAAGACATATTCCATTTTCTCCACCTCGTCTCTAAAAATTTCCTTCATCTTCTCAGTGTTTGGGGCACTACTGGTATTTGACACCACTACTGGCGTCGGACATCCAGCACCGCTGTTAGCACAATGCCACTCCCACTCCATCCTCGCCAATAGTTTCCAACGCGGTGCTGCCCGGTCGAAGACCACTACATGACCTAATTTCCCGCCCGGTGGTACCACCCTCCCTATTTCTCCCGCAGAGGGCCGATCTCTCTCCGTTAGGCCTGAGGGTGGAGGGAGATCAGGAAATAAAGCACAATGGAGAGGTGGAGACATTGTATAAGTATGGAGAGAGTGAGTAATACGTGTATAAAAAGATTAAACAAAGAATGGTGGAGAAATCCATGCACATTTTTTTTTTTTTTGATTTAACAGAAGTTGAATGCAAATAAAATCCGAATAGGTAAGTATATTATGTTATGGACAACTGATAGGATACTACAATTAAAGAAGTCGTTTTTAAAATTTTTTAATGTTTATTTATTTTTGAGAGAGAGAGAGACAGAGAGAGCACAAGCCGGGGTGGGGCAGAGAGAGAGGGAGACACAGAATCCGAAGCTCCAGGCTCTGAGCTGTCAGCACAGAGCCCAACGCGGGACTCTAACTAACAAACCATGAGATCATGACCTGAGCCGAAGTTGGACGCCTAACCGACTGAGCCACCCAGGTGCCCCTAAAGAAGGTGTTTAAGATAATTATAGAGCCACGTGGGGATAGTTAGCTCAGAAATAACCTTGAATGCCAGCACGGTACATTGGAAATTCAGTGGAATCATTTCAAGAACACCTTTTTCCAATACTTCTAGTTAACTGAGCCTCTGAAGGGAAGATGGAGGGAGCTGGTGAGAACGCGCCATTTCCAGCTTCACATACTTGCACTGTTGTCATGACGGCTTGGTCTCCTTGGGGGTCCCAGGATGCTGGGGAATCCTCTGCGCTTCCCTTTTTCTTCGCCTTCTCGATCTTTCTTCATACTTTGCTAGAGTCAAGGTACAATCAGAGAGATAAGAGACACACAACAGAGTCGAGTTCTTTTGTCGCTGTCGAACACAGAAACGCAATTCTAACGGTCAGCTGAAAGAACTGGCTAAATGCAAGTGAGAGACACACACGCAGCACTCAGAGGCCGGCACACAGTACCGTGTGCACGTCAAACTCAAGATGTCTTTTCAACCTATTTCGAGCTGACAATTTTGGAAAACAAAAAAGTAGTTTGACAACACATTTACCGGGAGCCAGTTCCAAGCAATTCATTCCTCTGCTGAACAAACAATAAGCCCTTCCTGCGTGATGGCACTGTGCTAAAAGCTGGGGACACGACGAAGGAGGCCCTCGCCCTCACAGAGCCGCCCCGTCTGACAAAAACTAAATAATCACACACTGTGACCGGCGCCATAAAAGGAAAGACTGAGGCCATGACAGAGCTGGGATGGCACTCGGCATAAAGTGCTATCTGCACTCCTCACACTGTCTGATCATTAGTTTCCATGCCTGAATGTCTCACTAGATTTTTTACTTTCTTGAGAATGGGGACCACGTCTTACACACATTAGCACACCCAGCACTAACTTGCTGAATCGGTAAATACGAAGACGAAGGAAGGCACTGCGACCCCGTGTAAAGAAGCACAGGGACGTGAACACACTAGTATCCAGTCCTACCTTGATTTTTGGAAGGAATCCAATCCGACCTCGCTTGTGCTCCAAATTTCGAGGTTCTTTCACTTTTACTCCCAAATGCTTCATGTACATAAGGATAACATACTGCATTGTTGAACTGGAGGAAAAGGATTAAGTCAAAGAAGGACTCTGAGAAGGGAGGGTGGGCAGAATAAAGACATCAAATGACTTAAAAAAAAATGCAATACTGGAATTCTTAGAATTCATTCATCAAGAAAAAACTAAGCAGGTATCTACTGGTTGCAAATAGAAAAGGACTCTACTCAAGACACTAGAATATTAGTCGAATAAAACAGAGGCCACCAGAGGGAGACACTCTATACTTTGAAGTTAAAAGAAATCATAATTTAGGACTTAGAAAAGACAGTTTCTTTTTTTTGTAAAATTCTTGGGAAAAAACCCAGTTATATTACCTTTTATCTTCTTCTACAGCCTGAGCAGTCATCCTAAAAGTAAAAATATTTCAAAATTAAACATTAAAGTTTAACGAAGGAGTTGCTATTAACTCAGATACCTGAAGCAACAGAACAGAGCTCAATCTGTCACCTGGCATGAAATAGCAGAGTAACCCTAACCCTCTAGGGAACTACAGGCTTTTCTCACTCCTGTCATCAACTGTAAATGTTTTCTGACCTCAAACAGTTTCAAAGCCCATGAACTAAAACCACTGGAAGTGTTTCTGATCAGTCAGACATTTTATAGTTACTCATTTTACCAATACCCAGAAAAAGAAACACAAGAACTTTTCTAAAACATCAGCAAAATTTAAAAATTAAAACATTAGGGGTGCCTGGGTGGCACAGTTGGTTGAGCGTCTGACTTCGGCTCAGGTCATGATCTCACAGTCTGTGAGTTTGAGCCCCGCATCGGGCTCTGTGCTAACAGCTTGGAGCCTGGAGCCTGGAGCCTGCTTCGGATTCTGTGTCTCCCTTTCTCTCTGCCCCTCCCCACTCATGCTCTGTCTCTCTCTCAAAAATAAATAAACATTTAAAAATTAAAAAAAAAATTAAAATATTAAAACCAAAATACATGGCTCCACACACGTGGTCTGACTCCCCTTTTGAGTTTGTTCAAAGTGTGCTTTAAGCATTAAGGAGCATCTCAAGAGAGAGGTGCATCTGCACATGCTTCTGTTACTTACAACACTTCTTCGATTTTGGCAACAATCTGTTCCGCACATGCCCGTTCCTTCTCCAAAGTTACCCGGTCCTTGTCTCGCTCCGCATCGAGTTTTGTCAGCTCGCTTTCAGCCAAGGTCAGCCCCATGCTACGTTTCTGCCTAAAGGGAACAGGAGAAGCTTCCTGAGGTGGCCTAGAGAAGAACCGTCTCCCTCTGGAGATGTTTCATCAGAGTTTCCATGGCTATGATTTTCTAGCAACAGGCGAAATGTCACAGTTTTCTATTTTGGGGCCCCTGTCACCTAGGACACCAGAGGAAAAGAATTCTAGAGGCGATCGCTCAACAGAACACACATCCTGAAGGAACACACTTAGCCTAGAGGAGACCTGAGCTCAAATCCTGAAAACATACAGAATGGGGACTGTGGACTCAGTACCATGCCAACTCTTCGACTCTAGGTATTCCTTACATTTTAATCACAGTGATAAAGACCATATGCTAAGCCAAGGACTTAATGTGTAACCTTTTCCTACCTAAACAGAAAGTTAATTCAGAACTACCATATCAGTTTATATCTGCCACCAAGCTTACCGAAAATCTTCCAAGTGCCTCTGAACTTCTGGGTGGACTCTTTCCTGCATAGTTTGAATATAGTGGCGGTGTAGATCCTCAGGTATAAGCTCAGGTCTTCTTTTTTCTGCATAAAGAAAAGGCAAGGAGTTACCTGATGTGAAGGTATATCCTGTGCATTATAACTGGCAACATATCAATGCTATTTGGTACAAACTTGGAGTAAGACAAAGAGAAGGTCTTCAGTGCATTTTGTTTTTTACCTCACAATTCCAATTTCATATACGTTTAATGTATTACAGAATCTATTTTCTGTTGTGATTCAGATGATCTGCTCATTACCACATGACAGATAAAACCTTTAGAGATGAACTGTGCTACATATCTAACAGAGACATAATTCTCAAGAATATTGATACTCCAAACTTACCTAGATCTATTGATATTTCATCAGGAACAGAAACTTTCAGGTGCTAAAACAAAAATGCAAACAAAAAGTGAAACAACACTAAATACTTATATAAGGTGTATATATAAGGACTTGTATAAAGTGAAGAGATACAACTTGGGGATAACTATTTTTACAATCACATTCAGGTTTAAGCTCACTTATCCCATCCAAATTTCACAGCTCTGGAATGTACCACTGTTTCAACATGAAAATAGGCCCTTTCCCCCAATGATCATATACAGGAAATATCTATAATCACTGGTTAATATAATCAGTTATATACATCATTTGAATCAATATAGCTAACACCAAAACTGTATATATATGGTATGAAAAATTTAGTCATATATAATCATGACTTTTTTTTTTTTTTTTTTTTTTTTTTTTTTTTTTTTTTTTTTTTTTTTTTTTTTTTTTTTTTTTTTTTTTTTGCTGTACTTGAGACTCTAAACCACATATTACCAGTAATTTCCTATGTAAAGTGAAAGAACCCTCACAACATTCATGCCCTGATGAGAAGGTACTGGATGTCAATGTCGAGCCTTTGCAGTATTAAATCTCTAATAACCATCCATAGTTTTTACTATTGACCCAACTAAGGTAACCGTGTCATAATTAATTTCTTCTTAGCTAGGATTTTCCCCATAATAACTGCAGTTTTCGGTCCTATTACCACATAGTTGTGTTTTCCCTCTCATCAATCTGGGAAGTATCTTAGAAAACAACTTATTTGTATTCAAAGAAAGTATCTTAACCTCTTCATGCTTACTTTATAATGTATACCTACTTGTCATATACTTTGAGAATTTAAACAGTTCCTGTAAGACCTAAAGCTTTACATTAAAAAATAAGTCTGCTGCAAATTATGAGATCTCCAAATTCATCTGAAGAACAGTGAAATAGATTTCAAAGTTTTCTCTTTCACTGACGTTGTCACACAGTAGCTCAAATCAACTGTCCTAGAAGTATTGCTAGCATAAATGTAAAAAAGTATATACACGCTCATTTCTGTATTTATATGAAATAAATAAACCACCTGTGACATGAAAGAATAATCAGCAAATAAATCTATCAGGGTTATTACACTTTAATACTGATAAATTTAATACAGATCACAAGCAGCAAAATAAAGATTTGACTTAGCTTGGAGCTCTTAAGATATGTGACATTAACTTCTGGGGATTTACCTGAAGTAAACAAAAACACTAATTCAAAAAGACATATGCACCCCTATGTTTATAGCAGCATTATTTACAACAGCCAAGATATAGAAGGAACCTAACTATCCACCAATAGATCGATGGATAAAGAAAATGTGGTAGATATACACAGTGGAATTATTACTCGGCCATAAAAAAGAATGACACCTAGCCACTCACAACCACATGATGGACCAAGTGGGTATTATACAAGGCAAATGGTCTAGACAGAGAAGACAGATATTGTATAATTTCATTTACATGTGGAACCTAAGAATTAAAACCAATGAGCAAACACACACAAAGAACAGAATTAGGCTCATAAATACAGAGCAGACTGATGGTTGCCAGAGGGGAAACAGGGTGGGAAGTAAGTTAAATGAGTGATGGGGATTAAGAGGTACCAACTTCCAATTGTAAAATAAATAAGTCACAAAGTATAACATCCATTCATGATAAAAACCCTCAACAAAGTAGGTTTAGAGGGAACGTACCTCAACATAATAAAGGCCATATTTGAAAAACCCACATCTAACATCTTACTCAATAGGGAAAAACTGAGAGCTTTTCCCCTCGGGTCTGGAACAAGACAGGATGTCCACTCTCACCACTTCTATTCAACAAAGTACTGGAAGCCCAAGCCATAGCAATCAAACAACAAAAAGAAATAAAAGGCATCAAAATTGGTAAAGAAGAAGTTAAACTTTCACTATTTTCAGATGACATGTTATTATACATAGAAAGCCCAAAAGACTCCACCAAAAAACTGCTAGAACTGATAAACCAATTCAGTAAAGTCACAGGATACAAAATCAAGGTACAGAAATCTGATGCATTTCTATACACTAATAATGAAGCAGCAGGAAGAGAAATTAAGAAAACAATCTCATTTACAATTGCACCAAAAATATAAGATACCTGGGAATAAACCTAACCAACAAGGTGAAAGGCCTGTACTCTGAAAACTATAAAATGCTGATGTAAGAAACTGAGGACAACACAAAGACATGGAAAGACATTCCACGCTCAAAGATCAGAAGAACAAATATTGTTAAAATGTCTATGCTACCCAAAGCAATCTACATATTTAATGCAATCCCTACCAAAATACCAACCATATATTTCACAGAACTAGAACAAAGAATCCTAAAATTTGTATGGAACCACGGAAGACCCCAAATAGCCAAAGCAACCTTGAAAAAGAAAAGCAAAGCTGGAGGCATCACAATTCCAGACTTCAAGTTATATTACAGAGCTGTAGTCTTCAAAACAATATGGCACTGACACTAAAACAGACACGTAGATAGATCAATTAAAACAGAATAGAAAACTCAGAAATAAATCCACAACTATATGGGCAATTAATCTTCAACAAAGCAGGAAAGAATATCTAATGGGAAAAGGACAATGTCTTCAACAAATGGTGTTGGGAGAACTGGACAGCAATATGCAGAAGAATGAAACTGGACCGCTTTCTTATACCATACACAAAAATAAATTCAAAATGGATGAAAGACCTAAATGTGAGACCTGAAGCCATAAAAATACTAGATGAGAACACAAGCAGTAACCTCTTGGACATTGCCTATAGCAACTTTTTTCTAGACACGTCTCCTGAGACAAGGGAAACAAAAGCAAAAATAAACTATTGGGTCTACATCTCAATCAAAAAGCTTCTACACAGCAAAGAAAACAACCAACAAAAGTAAAAGACAACCTACAAAACAGAAGAAGGTATTTGCAATGACATATCCCAAAAGGGTTCCTATACAAGGTATAACAAGAACTTATAAAACTAAATACCCAAAAAGCAACGCAATTACAAAATGGGCAGAAGACATGAACAGACATTTCTCCAAAGAAGACATCCAGATGCCCAACAGACACATGGAAAGATGCTCATCATCACTTACCATCAAGGAAATGCAAATCAAAACTACAATGAGACATCACCTCACACCTGTCAGAATGGCTAAAATCAACAACACAAGAAACAAGAGGTATTGGCAAGGATGTGGAGAAAAAGGAACACTCATGCGCTGCTGGTGGGAATACAAAGTGGGGCAGCCACTCTGGAAAACAGGATGGAGTTTCCTCAAAAAGTTAAAAATAGAACTGCCCTACAATCCAGCAATTGCACTACTGGGTATTTACCCAAAGAATATAAAAACACCAATTCAAAGGGATACATGCAACTCTATGTTTATGGCAGCATTATTTACAATAGTCAAGATATGGAAACAGCCCAAGTGCCCAGTGATTGATGAATGGATAAAGATGATGTGGTATATATACATACAATGGAAATCACTCAGCCTTAAAAAAGAATGAAATCTTGGCCATTTGCTGCGACATGGTTGGAGCTAGAGTGTATAATGCTAAGCAAAATAAGTCAGAGAAAGACAAATACCGTATGATTTCACTCATACGTAGAATTTAAGAAAACAAATGAGCAAGGGGAAAAAAAGAGAGAGACAAGCCAAGAAACAGACTCTTTAATTAGAGAAAACAAACTGAGGGTTACCAGAGGGAAGTGGGGTGGGGGATGGGTTAAATAGGTGATGGGGATTCAAGAGTGCATTTGTGATGAGCACCAGGTGATACATGGAATTGCTGAATCACTATGCTGTACACTTTCAGCTAAATAACACTGTCTGTTAATGAACTGGAATTAAAAACTTATAAGAAAAGTAAAAAAATAAATAAGTCACAGGGATTAGAAGTATAGCACAGGAAATACAGGTCAAGAATACTAGAATAACTTTGTATAGTGACATGATAACTATAGTTATTACCATGGTGAGCATTATATATGTAATTGTCAAATCACTATGTTGTACACCTGAAACTAATATAATATTGAATGTCAACTGTACTTCGATTTTAAAAAAAGGAAATGTGAAATTCAAATATACTTCAATATACTATAGTTTCCTCATGGAAGTAAATCATCTTAATGAATATACGTATAATATTTTATTTTTTAAGTCTATTGTTTTATTTTTGAGAGGGGGGAGGGGCAGAGAGAGAGGGAGACAGAGAATCCTAAGCAGGCTCTGTGCGGCGCACAGAGCCTGACGTGAGGCTCAAACCCATGAACCATGAGATCATGACGTGAGCCAAAACCAAGAGTCAGACTGCTTAACCAACTGAGCCACCCAGGCGCCCCTATAATATTTTAAACAGTGGCAGTATAATCAGAACCCTAACTCATTCACTCAATAAATATCAAAATGACCACTCTTCCAGGATCGATCAGTGTTGGAAAAATAGCAATGAACAAACAGAACAAAAATATCTGCCCTAATGGAGCTTTACATTCAGGGCAGAAGAGTAAGAATACAGACAAAATAAACCAACAAAATAAAAGTTCTATGGACAAAAATAACACATGACAGGTGACAGAAAGTGAAGGGAATAAAATGTCAAGTAGGTTGGTCAGGGAAGGCCTCACTGAAAAGGTAACTGTATTCTGCAATGTGTAGGTGTGCAGGCAACTTTGTAAAGGAATACAAAGATAATGAGGTAAGAGTTGGAGGGAGAAGTGGAGACAAAAATGTTTCTGGGTATGTTTGTTTTAGGATTGGTAAACTCACAACGTCTGCATGCTAATGTGAACGATTCAACAGAAAACAAAAAGTTGACGATATCAGAGAGAAGGATGGCAATTGCTAGATGATGTTGTCAAGTAGGAAGAAGGAAATGCAGTCCAGGTAAACAGGGGAAGAGTCACCTTGGTATAAAACAAGACAGTCTCTCCACAACATCAGGAGAAAGGGCAGAGCATATACTATGATGAATGAAGGCAGTTGATATCTGGTAGAAGTTCACCTGCAGATACTTCAAATTTCTCAAAGAAACAGCAAGGTCATGAGCTGAGAAAGGGCAGGAGAGGAGGCAATGAGGTTTCAGGAGAGGGAAGTTGTGACACAGTCATAGAAGAGAGGAGCAAACGTGGAAGACGCCTCAGGAACCGCAGCACAATTATCCAGGGAGCATTACGGGCTGGTACTTACCCTACCACGAGGCCAAGAATAATAAAACCCATTAGTTTAAAAATCTCATAAAGACTTCTACTGGTAAAATAAAATAAAACACTATTATTATTCATGTAAGATCTTTTCCACCACTTTTTAAACTTGTGCCTCTAAACTTCAAAGAGGCCAACCAGAGTTCATTATACCAGCAACATCCTCTGGATCCCAATATATACATATATCATTTGGGTTCTCCTTTTCACTCTCTCATTATGCACATGTATAAGCCCAAATGTACGTGTATACCCCCTAAGACCTACTGTGAGAATTCAGAGCCTACAACTAATTTAAAAATAATAAGAGTAACAGTCAAGAGTAATCAGTAACTGAGACACAACATAGATGTCAGAAAGTCCAAAACAATAATGTCCAAAAATATGAGGTCAGACTGGAAGTAGGAGACCAATAACTCAACGTACGACAGTGCAGATGACATAATATTAACTTGGTAACTTACTGCAGATCGATCCAGGAAAAACTGATGAAACTCGAGGAAGACACGCCGAGTCTCCTTGGAATTGGTCTGCTTATATAGGTCTGAATAGAGATAACAGAGCTGCAGTAGAGGAAGAAACGGAAAAGAGAAAGAAAGTGAGAAATCATGAAAAATATAACCTGCTAGATCTTCACTGAGTAGCAAAGTTTCCCACAAGTAGGCCACTACAGACAATGTAATCATTACCATGCAAGGAAGTTTAAAAATAAATAACTTTCAACTATCTTATGTATCTATCCGTATATGCTTAGCAACTCATCTTGCAGAAGTGCAAAGTTTTACAGTATAAGAATCAATGTAGGAACTCTGAATTGGCTAAATCGTCAAATACATTACCAACGTTGCAGGGTCAAACTGTGAAACTACGTGGTGTAAGAAAACAGCCAGGTGAGCAGGGCGAGATTTTAGCAGTTCAATGCTCTGGAAACAGCTGCACTGCCCATTGATCTAGAAAAGGAAATAATGATACATCAGTAACTCCACCACACAGATGCAAAATGTAAGGTAAGCTCAGTTAAACACAACTACCCAAATTTCACTTTGACATACCCTAAAAAAATTCAACATCTTAAAAATTTCACTGGAATTTATGAGCACCTGGGCTTATGGAATCTCTCCCTCTGGAAATTAATAATCTCTTGGAAACAGCTTGGAAGAAAAGCCATCTTAGGAGAATGCAAGTTCAATAGATAATTACCGAGGAACTCAGATGTCTACAAGTCAGTAAGTAAAAAAGCAGTGTAGCAACACTTCTAAAAAGGCAATGGGAGGTTTTTGCCTAATAATGAAATAGGTGTCTTCCTTTCCTTTTGAACTAATCACAGAAATGGTTGTATGAAAATGGAGATGTATAAGTTTAAGTGAGACAACTCCTAGAATAATTGTATTCCCTAACTGCACTGAACACAGAAAACTAATAGTTCAACTTAAGGTAATCTTGACTCACAATTTCCATTTAATTTCTCATGTTTAAATAAATTAAAGAAAGTCAATCTAAACAAATAATACCAATTCTTCACAATCTCTTTCAAAAAATACAAGAGGAGGGGACACTTCTGAAGTCATTTTAAGAGGACAGCATTACCTAAACATCAAAACCAAAGACATTCTAAAAAAAGAAAACTACAGACCAATATACCCCATAAAAAACAATGTAAACATCATCAGCAAAATAATAGCACATTGAATCTGGTAATATATAAAAAGGAAAATACACTATACGACCAACTGTGGTTTATCCCAGGAATGCAAATCTGGTCCAACATACTAATATCAATGTAATTTATCATATTAAGAGACTAAATAAAAAAAAAAACCTGTATGATGTCAATTATTTAACAAAGTTCAACATTCATTCGTGACAAAAAAACTCTCAGCAAGTAGAAATAGAAGTAAACTTCCATAACCTAATAAACAGTATCTACAAAATACCTATAGCTAACATCGCACTTAATGATGAAAGACTAAATATCTTTCTCCCTAAGGTTAGGAAGAAGGCAAGAATGTCCTGTCTTACCACTCCAATTCAACCTCATAGTGGAAGTCCTAACCAGTACAATAAAGGTAACAACAAGAAATAAAAGATAAACAGATTGGAAACAAAGAAATCGATGTGGTTGTCTATGTGGAAAATCCCAAAAAGCCATTTAATTTTATGTATTTAAAAAAAAAAATTTACTGTTTTATTTTTGAGAGAGAGAGAGAGTGAGCAAAGGAGGGGCAGAGAGAGAGAGGGAGACACAAAATGAGCTTACCTTACATTTTGCATCAGAGAATCTGAAGCAGGCTCCAGGCTCTAAGCTGTCAGCACAGAGCCTGACACGGGGCTCAAGCTCATGAACTGAGAGATCATGACCTGAGCCCAAGCCAGATGCTTAACCCACTGAGCCACCCAGGGGCCCCCCAAAAAGCTATTTTAAAAAGCTCCGAGGGGCACCTGGGTGACTCATTCAGTTAATTGTCCAACTTTGGCTCAGGTCATGATCTCAAGGTTTCTGAGTTCGAACCCCACAACGGGCTGTGTGCTGACAGCTCAGAGCCTGGAGCCTGCTTCGGATTCCGTGTCTCCCTCTCTCTCTGCCCTTCCCTGCTCACGCTATCTCTCAATCTTAAACATGAAATAAACACTAAAAAAATAAAAATAAAAAACTAAAAAAAAGTAAAGGCTCCTAGAAGTAGTGAGTTTATTAGCAAGATCATGGGATACAAAACCAAGAATCAAGCCAATCATATTTCCAAACCATTGGAATTTTAAATCAAAAAAAGATATATTTACAATTGCACCCTCCTCTCCCAAAAGGAAGTACTTTAGTGTAAATCAATCACTTCTTATCAGCTTTAAAAGCAAAGTCATTTCTATTGGTCAAAGCTAAAATAAACAACTAAGCCAAGCAATTAATCTTAGCTCTAAGATACAGCTTCAAATCTTTACAAATACAATTTCAATCTCTAAAAAGCATTCATTTTTGTAACAAAGTAAACATCTCAAATAATTAATAATTTGTTGTGTAGAAAAAAAGCCATCACCTGTTCATGTTCAGTACCAAAATCATCATCCTCTGCTCCAATAATATGAGGTGCCATTCGGGGAGAGGGGCTCCCGATGAGTGACTGAGTGTCCTGGTAACATTCAGAGAGAAAAAATAGAGAAATTATCTGTTGGTCAAATTCAGAGAAAAAATGAAGCCAAATCATCAAAAAGAAATGGTTCAGTCAACCGACCAGATTTCATTTTATTGATTTTCTTTAAGTGCTTCACTTTCAAAGAAGTGGTTCTCAAATTTTCAAGGCAATGAATCATTTTAGCAAAGAAAACCACAACAGTATCAACTGTTCTTAGGGAGAAAAAAACATTTCCTCTGGAAATAATTAACACCTTTTGCTCACTACACTCTTGGATATCTGATTCTAATCTCTGTGTACTCCACTCATTTCATATAAACCTTGTTCCAGACAGAAAGTTGGCTTCTGTAAATAATTACAATTCTCAAAAGCTAGATTAGGAAAAGTGAACGAAGACAACAAGACAAAGGAAAAATGAGAATAGAAATGATAAGATGAAGTGAGTGAAGAGGTTAACACAAAGACTTCTATTAACATCGCATAATTGAAAGCTGTCACTGAACCCTGTTTTTTCATTTTCAATTCATTTTCCTAAGTGCATAATGCAGGGTTTTTCAACCCTGGCACTGCTGACATTTTGGGCTGGATAATTCTTTGTTGTGGGGGCCGTCCTGTGCATTGTACGATGTTAAGCAGCATCCTGGGCCTCTACCCACCCACTACATGCCAGCAGCAGCCTCCCAGCCATGACAATCAAAAACGTTGCCATACACTGCCAAATGTTCCCTGAGGGACAAAATCACTCCCGGTTGCAAATCGCTGGCATAATGCAACAAAATTTTCAAGCAATCGCACAAAATTAAAATCATTTTGTATAGAAACAAAGAACCAGAGTTGCAAACACGAAAATGTAGGTTGGCAGATCTCCCTCCCGTGCCACAGCTCATCCACTTGTCAGCTCACTCACAAGGCTGGACTGAGCAGGAAGAAGGCAGTGTGAGGGCACGAGCATACGATATAAAAAATATGCGATGTATGAGGTCCATAAATACTAAAATCAAAGGCCATACAGTATTAAGGAAATAAAAATTGGGGAGGAAACAAGGAAGGCATGAGTTTGGCTCAAACCTGACAGCAGCTGACATGTAGGATCTGGGGCTGAGCAAGGACAGTGGGGCGATCCTGACTCGGGGGCCACATGCATCTCAGAGCTGAAGGTACGCGCATGTAGCCGCAAGATACATGAAGTCGTATGTAGCTAAGTTTTCCCTCCTTAAGTGTGCTGCAGCCCTTTGTATTTGCGTCTTCTAACCTTGATTCTGACATTTTTACTGCTTCTTTTTTAAACTCTAGGCTTTTGTAATTTTTTAAAAAATGGTGCAACAACAGAAATTTGTTCAGAGTGGTTGTCAAGACAACTTTTGATTTTATAGTTGTTTCCATGTCTCTGAATTTTCAATAACCCTTATGTTGCTAATAATTGATGGATCACTTGCTGTTTAATTAAATCTTTTACTATAAAACTTTATACAAATCTAATTAGAAAACAAAAGCAGAATGTTAAAAGTATTCACATAAGAATATGCAAAATCCAGCAATCTCACTTCTGAATAAATACCCAACAGAACTAAAAGAAAGCACTTGAATAGATATTTTACACCCATGGCCCCAGCAGCATGATTCACAAAAGCCAAAAGGCAGAAACAACCCAAGTGTTCACTGACAGATCAATGGATAAGCAAAACATGGTATATGCAAACAATGGACTATTATTCAGGCTTAAAAAGGAAGGAAATTCTGACATAGGCCGCAACATGGATGAACCTCGAAGACACTGCGCTGAGTGAAATAAGATAGTCACAAAAGGACAAACACTGTATGATGCTACTTATATAAGGTTCCGAACCTAGTCAAATTCAGAGTAAAACAATGGTTGTTAAGTGCTCTGGGGAGAGGAGAATGGGGAGTCAGTGTTTAATGGATACTGACTCTGAGCTGGGGAAGATGAAAAAGTTCTGGAGACAGATACGGTGATGGTTGTACACGAAGGTCAATACGATTTAATGACAATAAGCTGTATACTTAAAAATTACTAAAATGGTAAATTTTACGTTACGCATTTTTTACCACAATAAGCAAAGTAACACTGAACCACCTAATACTACTATCATGGAGTAGCTCTTCATTTATCAAATCTTACTGAATCAGTTCAAGCGTCTTCTCTCCCCACTCCCCCTCCATCCCCAAATACACAAATATCAGGGGTGTCTGTTACTGAAGTGGAAGGAAAGCGAAAGGAAGCCCTACCGCTTCATGGACTCCATACTCACAGTGTCCTGAATCACTTCGCTTTTCTCTGGGTTTTCCTCTAGATAAATCCTCTCTTTCAGGGCACTCTTGGGACTCTAAAAAAAGACATTCAGTTCATTTCAACAGGCTCCCCAAAAAGGGACAAGGAAAAATAGGGTGGAAAACAAGGTTCCGGATTTCACATTTGTATTTGAAACCACAAAGGATCTTGCATCATACATCACTCTACTATTTTTTTTCCCCGACTTTGGCAAGGCACTTATTCTCTTGGCCTTTTGAGTTTTATGCTGATGAACAATATCACACTAACAGAATAGTTGTACCTCATCTCCAGGACTGAGGGCTAATTTCTACCAAATAAACCTAACTGGATGCATTATGTATCTCCCAAACTAGTTATGTCAAAGTCAAACTCTGTCTTTATCCACCACTTCTAACCCCCTCTGCCCCCAACTGTTTCTTTCTATGCAAGTTAAAAGCATTTTGGCCTATTTATAGGAGTGAGATTAAGTTTCTATTTTTCTGTGAGTATCGTGTAGAAGTGACGTGTGGATTCTTCTAAAATTTACAGGGTATGTTTGGGATGACCAAATACAAAACACAAAGAATATGATGTGTGGAACTTCGATTCTGGAGGATGAGGAACACTCCACAGCAAGGGAGCCATTCGTCAGAGCAGCTGAAAATGAGGTGCAAGAGATTTTTGTGTGAATGCCAACGGGGAACACGCATGCTATTTATACATATACTAAGCACAAGATAAAAACAGTAGCTTCAAATATAAGCTCCACCTTGGACAAATGGACGACTCTGGGTCTTGGACAAGAGACATAAAAGATAAAGATAGAATAATCTTGTCACAGCAGAAAGCGCTGCTGATAACTTGTTATCAAAATTACTGGGAGGTCATGTTAAAAGAACACATAAGACAACTAGAAGGAGCTCCCACTGCCCAAAAAACGGACAATTTAAGCAACAAAAAGAAATAATGACTGCAATGGAATAAAACACAATAAGCAAATATATTAAAATCTATGAATTCAAAATATTACACACGTGTGTGTACACACACACACACACACACACGTCCCCACATTGGTGACCTTTAGATCTTGTTAGGGTACCAACTCCTCTGGAAACAGGTACATGATGGGATAAGAATCAAGTATTTATCCCGCATTTCCTGTATCAGCTATATTTTAGGGTCACCTAAAAGCTAGTAAGACAAAATTCTTTTAAAATGATTCCATCTGGGGGCGCCTGGGTGGCTCAGTCGGTTAAGCATCCGACTTCAGCTCAGGTCACGATCTCGCGGTCCGTGAGTTCAAGCCCCGCGTCAGGCTCTGGGCTGATGGCTCAGAGCCTGGAGCCTGTTTCCGATTCTGTGTCTCCCTCTCTCTCTGCCCCTCCCCCATTCATGCTCTGTCTCTCTCTGTCCCCAAAATAAACATTAAAAAAAATAATAATAAAAAAATAAAAAAATAAAATGATTCCATCTGATAAATATAGAAGGAATGACAAAATTATATCATCCTTTTGAAACCACTAAAGAATGGATGCAGGCATTTTGATCATCAGTGACTGGTGACAACATTATATAAAAGCTTAATGGAAAATGTGATTATGAAGGAATCATGCTGACATAGTCTGCACACTTTAAACTTACAGTCAGAGAAAGACAACCAGACATCCACCTCCTGATGTGATGTAACAGGATATACACAGTCCCACCCATGAATTGTTCTGGCCAAACAACAGCTCTTAATCTGATCAAGATTCTAGATCTCACTAATAGCTTTCAGGAAATATAGAGAGATGAACATGTTAAACAACACCATGAAAATACAATTAAAATGTGGGTTGCTTTACCAGGCATATGACCCAGTTTCTGTCACAAAAGAACAGCAAGAAAAAAAAAAAAAAAAGGACATAACAAATTAAGAGACTTATGAACCAAAGGCTGAAGACCTTGACTAGATCCTGACTCAGATAAACCAACAGCAGAAAGATCATTATGAGACAATTAGGGTAATCAAATTACATACTTAGAAATTTGATTTGATAATGTTATTACGCCTGTATTTTTGAAAAAGTCCTCTTTTCTCTTCAAGACACATATTGATGAAATAATGTCATGGATTTACTTGAAAAGAATCCTGTATTTGGAGGGTGTGAAGAATGAGGGATACAGACAGAACAAGTTTGAGCACTCTTGATGACTTCTGAGGCTGGGTGATCAAGTACGTAAAAGGGATCATTATGTTAGCCTTTATTTCTGAATAGGTTTAAAAATTTCCAAAGTAAGTTTTTTTAAAATATCAGCCACAAATTCACAAAAACCAGACAGATGCTCTACATTTTAGATGCTGATTTGTGATGTACTTGCTTCTGCTGTGAGAACCGGGTACATGGGTGTTCTTCACAGCTTTCTCTGAGGTGAGCATAAGCAGGGAATTTTACAATAACAATGGTATCACAAACATTACAAGAATATTATTTTATAAAATGGGAGCAGAAAATGGGAAACAAGTAAAAGCACTGATTCAAAAGTAAGACCCATTGGTTCCTGTGGTCTTAACAGAGTACAAATGAAACAAACATGGAAATCCACAAGCTAAACAAAGCACATCTTAAGCTTCCAACAGACCTTGTAGGAATTAAACTAGTTATGTGTTCAAGTAAATATCCTAGTTTGCGATGTATTATCTCTCATCTGGATTTCCACAACACCCATTTATTTACCTGGCTTTAATTTCTTCATCTATAAGATAGTGATATTGCTTCTTTAATATTATTATGAGAGTTTAATAAAAGAATATTTGTACCGTAGGCATGACTGTGGACACAAAGTAGAAGGAAGTCAATAAATGGTAACTCTTTATTAGCCATTTGGCACACATTTGCTAGGGTCTTATTAAGCCAACCAATCTTCTTTCCTTACAGATCTCCCTGTCTCTTTATTCCAATTCATTGCCACACTGACATGTTTCTGATCGTGCCTCTCCACTGCAAGCAAGATAGAGCCCAAACTTGCATTCATTCTGTTGTTCATTCAAATACTTATTATAGGGGCACCTGGGTGGCTCAGTCGGTTAGGTGTCCAATTTCGGCTCAGGTCATGATCTCAAGGTTCGTGGGTTCGAGCACTGCATTGGGCTCTATGCTGACAGCTCAGAGCCTAGAGCCTACTTCAGGTTCTGTGTCTCCCTCTCTCTCCATCTCTCTCCTACTCGTGCTCTCTCTCTTTCAAAGAACATTAAAAAAAAATTAAAAAAAACAAAACAAATACTTACTAAACACCAAGTAAATCTCAAATAATCTCAAGTCACTGGAATGTTTATTTCTACACTTGCCAATTCACTCTGTTTCATAAAGTTATATTTCTTTTTTTCTTTTAATTTTTAGGGGGGGACGAGGGGGGAGAGAGAAAGAGAGAGAATCTTAAGCACAGGCTCCACACTCAGTGCAGAGCCTAACGTGGGGCTCGATCTCATGACTATGAGACGACGACCTGAGCCGAAATCAGGAGTCACATGCTCAACTGACTTAGCCACGCAGGTGCCTCCATCAAGTTGTATTTCTAACCCACATATTTTATTGTAACATTCCTCTAAATACAAGGTAAAATTCAAAGTTTTCTTTTGTACCATCTGTTCTGAATTCCTGATTGTAGGATCTGCCAGACTTTGGAGACATGGAGTCAAATAAGACTGTCCCTGTCCTCTCAAGAAACTATCGAATGGTAAAGACGAGCCATGAAAACAGGAGAAGCAGCAGTGAATCTAAAAGGAGAATGTGAGAAGGACCTCCCAAAAACAGTACTTCTAGAACAACTTGAAGGCCTCTAAAACCTGAACTCAAGCCTCTGTTTCTAAGATAAACTCTAGCTATTCCATTCATCATCCCAAATACCAGTAACATTTTCACTGCTCTCCCAAAATGTTATGCATTTTTACTCCTCAAGGCTTTTGTTTATATTTCAGGTAATGGTACTTTAGAGCTAGATGTAGGCAGATCACATACTATCGGATTAAGTCAGCAAATTAGTTAACTCCCTTTGGCCACAGTTTTTTCTTCTGTAAAATTATGGTAACAATAGTACTACTTCATAAGGCTGTTTTGAGAATTAACTAAAATAAGTAACATAAACGAGTCATTATAGCATATGGTGTGTATGGCCAGGAAATGTTTTTTTCTTGAGTCAAAATTGAAATTTTTCATTAAAACCTTTAGCCTATCGACCAATCATAAGACTGTTATGTTAGCACTGTCTTTCCC